ATTTCAGTAGGGAGCTCTTTCAGACAATCCCCAGAGACAAGAGGGAGTCTTGTCAGCAAGTGGCAGCAGCTTGCAGCCTTCCCTGCTGACTTCCCCATTGACTTTCTGGGAAAGCCAGCAGAAAAGATTGCAAATTGTGATCACATGATTGCAGGGTGTTTGGCAACCCATCATAGATTGCATCCAGATTGCAATCACATGACGTTTTGTGTGTGTGTGTGTGTGTGTGTGTGTGTGTGAGAGAGAGAGAGAGAGAGAGAGAGATTTAGCAATGGTCTGATGTGCTTTACAAAGTGTAATGTACCTTTTCTGACGCCATCGTTAATTCAAGCCATTGATAAGTGAACGGTCATAAGTTGAGGACCACCTGTGCCTCTTGGCTGTCTTCTGTTTCCTGAATTTTAAGCAGGATGCTTTTTTTTTAAAAAAAAAATGAAATAGAAAAAGTGTCATCTTAAAACACTTCCTTCTATTGAAAATATAAATCTGATATTTAATGCAAGGAATTCTGAACAACTAGTCCAATCGGGTCCTTTAACTTATACTCTGGTGGCCCCCTTTCCCAAGGAATAGCTTTGCTTTTGTTGTTGCTGCTATTCTTCTGTGGAGCTGAATTTGTTTGTCTTTTCCAGGCCATACCCCAGCCTTGGCTTGTGCCCCCAACAAAGACGTTGCTGATTGCCTGGCACTTATCCTTTCCACCATGAAGCCTTTTCCACCTAAAGACGCCATCAGCCCTTTCAGCTTCAACCTCCTCAAGAACTGCGGGATTGCTGCCAAGACAGCCGCCTGCAGCGCCCTGCCCAACGGGAACAGCTGCCCTTACACCAAGGATAGGCACAATGCCATCGGCTTAGATGGCTGTTATTCGGAATAGCTTAAAAACGATGATGGGTGATCTAGTATCTCTTCTATTTATTTAGGAATTCTATCAATATAGGACACTTTAAAGGAGAACAAGACTGGGAATGGGCCTTCCAAAAGGTCCTAGGAACCAAAAAGAAAAAAGGAAAGGAAAGGAAAAAACCTAGAGAAAGTGATCTCGGTTTCTGCATCCTACCTAGATACTTGCTTTGACCACTAGCATTTCTTCTGCTATCAAAATTAACAAAAAAAGAAAGTGTGGGTTTCCAAACAGATCCATCCTTTTAAAATGTTTTGTTTAAATTTACTCTAAGAAGCTTTAAAAATCTGCTCGTATTCTTCTTTCCCCTGCTGTTTGCCAAAGGGTATAGCCCGGTTCTTCTGAGTTCAATGTTTCTAAGCAACTCACCTTTTTCAGTCCCAGTTTCTGAAGGCTTTGATGCTTTGAGTGAAGAGCCAATTAAATTTATTTCATGCAGGGGGTTGTGGCAGCAGCCGAAGGATTGGATTTGATCATCTGGATCATCTTATTAACGGTCTCCCACACTTCCCCTCTATCAGGCCACCTTATCATTTGGGATCATTTTCTCTGTGTCCTCAGGAAAAGGAAAAAAATAATCTTTCCGAGGGACCCAGCAGGCTAGGCAGGGAGCAGAAGCCTGAATTGCTGCTGCTTTTTGTTTTGCATTGAAATGAGGAGAGGGAGGTTGATCAATGAGGGACCGCCAAGAAGGGCAGCAGCTGCTGGCAAAGTGCCACTATCATTGCTTCTTCCTGTATGGTAGCTTTTGTTTGTTTGTTTGTTGTGCTCGCCCTTTTTGATTCCAGTCAGAAAAACACTTGAACTGAGAACTACTGTACCCGGATACTCTGATACTTTAGGCAGCTCATAGTCCCTTGCGTGCGCCATAGATGCTGTTGCCCAACCAACGCGGTCCTCTTTAAAAACCTGTGTATGCGCTGCCAGAATTATCCCAACCATATCAGGCACTTTAGGGATCTTCTGTTTTTGGAGGCTGATTTTTTTTGGGGGGGGGAGAGGGAAGGTTATCCGGTTTGCAAAATGTTGGATCCCCAAAGGGAGTTTCTTTTGTGGTTCCCCACCCCACCCTCTCCCACCTCTGTTTTTGTGCAGTGTTTCCCATTAGACAAGTCAGTGTTGCCTAAAAAGATATTTATAAAGAAGCAAGCATTTATCTTTTGAAAAATAGCCAAAAGGAAAAAAAGAAAAGAGAAAAGCTTTCTGCAAGGAGAACAGTGCACTTCAGAATCTTACAATCCTACATTTGTATTTATAATTTTTTCAACTAGAATAACATCCAGCAGATTTCATTAGGGGGTGGTGTGTGTGTATCTGTCCGTCCATCCATCCATGGGTGGGGCTAAGTATGAGTGCGTATTTTTTATTTTAAAATTCCTATTTATTACACATTTGAGTGTGCGCACTGTTTTCTTTTTGTACTGTAAACCGTATCATGTGTAGAAACTAACAAAAAAAAAAGATTACCATATCACAAAGTATGTTCAAAGCCAAAGATTGGGATGTAGCAATCAGATGAAAGCTGCTGGGGCAAGCAAAACTTTAGGACCTAACAATCTTTTCCATCAGTTTCCCAGTCCTGCAGTGCTGTGGTAGGCTTGGGACTGTGTTTAGCAGAACATGTGAATTTTAAGAATGAATTATTCCAAGGCATGGTATGTTTGGACGAGCAAGCTTTAAGGCTAGTAACCCTGGGAAGCAACTGGTTTTTATTTTCTCCCAGGGTTTTCTTCTTACACACTCTCTTTGATTGTTAAAGGAGAATATATGAGGCAGCTATAGACCTGAATCCTTCTGCATCATGGTGCATTTTACACTTTGACAATGTAAGGAATTTAAAACCCAGAATTTAAACGGACAGACAAACTTTATATCTCCTCTGCCCTGCCCCGTTCATACCGGATTTACGATGCAGAGTGGACACCAATGCAATTGCTAGAGCCTTATTTATTTGCATCAACTGGTTGTCCAAAATAAAAAGATAGAAGAATCAGAAACAGCCAATTCAGAGGGTGTGGCTCGTGGCTAGATCTTTCAAAGAGGAGAGTTGAATCCAGAAGTTAGAAAAGATGATGATGATGATGAAATAATAGTAGTGGAGACAAGACACAAATCCCTTCCTTTTGACACTGTTTACTAAAGCCAAATTCCTGCAGCCAAATGACACAGCCACTATCTTGCCCTTTGCCAGTGCATTTTTTTAAAGGATATGATCACTTCATTTTTTTTTTTTTTTAATGGAGCCTTCCTCTGCTCCCCTCGCCTCCCTCTCCTGGCCTCCCTACTGGCTTTGTCTTTCTCAGAGATTTATTACACTGTCATTTGGGATCAGTTCTTCTAAGTGTTTGCTGAATTATTTTAGTATCCTGCATATGGATAGGTTGCAAAAAAAAAAAATGGGGGCCTTAAAGGTAGTGAATTCTAGTCTTCAAACAAACCTAACAATGTCCTTTGACTAAGCCTTCTGCAGAGACTAGGGTGCTACTAGCTTAGCTGTTTCTTCTTTCTTTGATGCCCAAGGAATCTTAAGAAATCTCTTCATTTTGCAGCTGCCAGGTAAAGAGCGTATTAAAAGTTTCAATGCACTTGCCAAAAAAAGCACAGCGGACAGCCTGTTGCAGATTGGCCGTTAATGTTTTCACTGCACTATGGATGGGTTACTTTTCTCTGCCCTCAGTTACTTCACATTCTCTACCTTGAAAGAAAGTGTTAACCTTTCTACACCAAATACCTCATTGTTGGAATAGAAATGAACAAAACTTGAATTAAAGATTCCTCTTCTCCTCTGTCCCCCGCTTTTTGATGAGAAAGGTCCTTTTCAGCATCTTGTAGAAGAAAAGCTGGGGAAAAAAACCACTTGTTTACACTTTATTAGGTACTAGCAATTTACTTCTTTCAAATTGCCTAATTTTATTTTAGCCTTCTAAGTGCAATCCTTTTCCTCCCCATAGAAGGGCAAAGAGGACATAAGTTGGGAGGCCAAAGTAAATCTGAAGCCACTCTTGGTCGTTGTTTGATTTCTTTTCAAGGGCTAAATGAATCCTCCTCTAAAGGCAGAAACGGGACTGAGACATTTGTAGGAAAATGGGGGGGGGGAGATCCAGTGTTCCTTGCAGTGCTGAGAACTAGGAGACCACCTCTTCCCACAGGTGTGATAGTTTAAACCAGAGATGTCCAATCTTGACAACTTTTAAGACTTGTGGACTTCAACTCCCAGAATTCCTCAGCCAATTCTGGGAATTGAAGTCCACAGGTCTGTATTCACCCCAAGCCATGTCTTTGTGGCTTGGAGGAATGTGGACTCATTAAGAAATCCTAGCACAGATTGTTCTTACAGAAGAGAGAGAAACCCATTTTTTGTTCCCCTTTACTCCTGTGTATTGAATTGTAGTTGGTTCTATAGCAGTTTTTGGGAATGAATATAGCTTGAATGGTTTACGATCTGCAAGAGGTCTTGAACCAGGGAGGTGAAGCTTCTATGGACCACAGTTCTTAGATGGCAGAGATGTTCCCTTTTCAGTTTTTATGGTTTATTATTTTTTTAAAAAGCAGGAATGAAATTTGAAGGAAGGGGCAGAAGCTGAGATGCAATCAGCTTTCTGAGATAAGTTTTTAGAATAAGGAAATTTCCTAACCCTAGTGCCAGATGAATTGGGCTGGCGTGAATTTAAATTCTTATGTTTCCTCCTTATATTAGAACTGTCATGGGTTTGTGCAGGGTTTGTGCAGGACTTCTTTTGCTGAACTGATGAAAAATAATCAGGCAGGATCATCTTTTTAATTGCATTTTTGCAAACAAAAAACAAAAAAAGGCATTTCCCTTTCTTACATTTCACCCTAAAATTGAAGATATGACAATCAATGTGATCTTTTTAAGGGCTTCAGCGTACTTAACTCTGTAGCATCGCACATTATTATATTTCTAGTGTTCCATTTAACTTTTTCCTTTTCCTTAAAAATGATGATGAAGAAAAAAAAAATGGAGTGGAAACAATTCCAGCAGTGCATATCTAAATTAATATATTTTGTTGCTTTTTTAAAAAAAAAATAAAAAAAAAGTGGAGGCAGCAGTTGGGTTGGGCGTGAAGAAATGTGGCCAGCTGTTTTAGTTGCCAGTCTTGTTCTCCTTTAATGCTGTAACATGTACATTTTGACAGCACAGCTTGACAGTTTTAAGTAATAATTCAAATGTCTGGTGGTAATAACTTGCATCATTGTGCTAAGATGAGAGTTGGTTTTCCCTGGTGCATTGTAAAAGAGGGCTGGAGGCAAACTTCCTTTGTTACTTCCTCTCTTTTTTCTCATCACCCCTTCCCTCCAGTATTCTGCAAGCACATTTGACTTCCTGGTGTGCAGTATTTTACCCAGGGTTGGGAGAAAGTGGGGAATGGGGGCAGAAGAGGATCTTGCTTACAGCTTCTTCCTATTGCCATCTTCTTTAGGAATGGCATCAAATCTATCTTAACCGTGCATCCTTCTTTGCATCTTAGAAGACCCTGCTCCTAATATCTCTGGGTGGTTTTCCTCCTTTTTTCCTTTCCACTTGTCTCAGCAAGCAATCATGGGGCTTCCCTTCTTAACCTATCCAAATAAGGAAGTTTTTCTCCAACCCCCTTTCTCTAAAGCACTTGCTTTACAAGTTTAAAAAGAAAAAGAAAAAGCACTTTTGTTTAAAAGCATGAGGGTCTCATTCCCCCTTTTATAATAATCTATAGGAGAAAGGCCAGCAAGGGAATTACGGTATCAGGAAAAACCTATTTTCCTTTTTGTCCCTCCCCCCCCACACACATTTTTTTTTAATTAATCTATGTTGGGTGGGAGGATGGGTGGAGAATTCTTTTAATTTACTTCAGAGCTCTAGAGTCATGGTTCTAGGGTTCAGAGAAATAGAACAAAGGGAAGTTGTGTTTTAAAAAATAAACAGCACAAATACATTTCAGCTTGACAAGTGTATTTGCACTGCCATTGTTAGATAAATGGGCCTTCCGCTGGGAGCCCAGCTGAGCCATATAACTATTGACAAACACTGAATGTAAATGTCCTTGTAGAGGGCAAGTACTGAGAAGCGATAAATTGATCATATATTCCTAAGACGGCACTTCAGCGAATTTAAAATAACTGATCCTGATAAAATGATGCTGTTCCTTTTTTTCTAAAAATGACTTTATTTTGTTTACTTTTCCCCAGAGGTTGCTGGAGCTTAAGAAAACCCATCTGTAGCATTGTTACTGTTCATTACTTTTTACGTTTTCTTTCTCCTCTTTTCCCACCCTGCCCAAGGAGTTCAAAATCATGGGATAGAGACATCCCATGCTAATATTTCTAAAGAGCTCTAATGTAAGAAATGAATTGTGTACTTAACAGGATTTGAATTTGTGTCCCTGAAAGTGATGTGTATATTATCTAGTCTGGTTTCTTGGCTTGGGACAGTGGATTACCAAAGGGGCCTGTCTCTGGCCAGTTTCTATACAGACTAAATGTGCAGAATCTCCTTTAGGGCTAATGCTCACTTTGTATTGAGAGAGCCAGCTCCAGACCTTTTGGCTTCCTTCTGATAGGAATGAAATAGTTGATCCAAGGACATGCCAGAATACCTTGCAGGTAGGCAAATTGGGGTGGGAAGATTCCTCTAATGACAGGATTTTTTTTTTTTTTAAACTCCAGCCGGTATAAGGTATTCTGGCATAGCTATATGAACTTTAATGTGAGCAATTGTTTTTTTTTAAAATCAGTTATTAAAACAAATATCCAAGCAAGTAACCTTCTATCCTTTCCTTGGTGAGTCCTGGAAAGTATATTTATTATCCCATATTTAACTCTCCTCCCCTCTATTCATCACCCCACGCATTTTTCCTCAAAAACATTTCCCTGTCAAATTGTTGCGTAATTCCGTTCTGATTAGCTATTCGCCCAATAGTGCCAAAGAGATGACAAGATTAGGAAGGTGGTGGAGAGAGAAGTTTGGTGATCTTTCATGGCATACTTTGCTTTTTTTTTAAAAAAAAAATATCATTATTTAAGCTGTAAGCTCAGCTCAGCTGGGCTTTGAGCATATTTTTTTATGTGCAGGAAAATGGGGAGGAGGAACCACCCTCCGTATTGCAAATGTTTCATTACTTTACAACCTTCTCTTGGTGGATTTTTTTTCTAAATGGGTTCTTCAGTATCAAGCGTGTAGCATTTGAGAAAAAAAAATGTGACTTCAGCATCACTTAACTCCTACAAAGTCAATGTTAAAGAAGAGATGGGGATATATAGATTATTATTTTTTTCCCGCTGAAGCAAGGAGAATGTTAATTGCGGTTGGGATTCTGTGAACTTTAAAGCAATGATTTCATTCGAATCATGAATTTGGGGGACAAAGAAAAAGCTGTTAATGTTACAAATAGGTAGAAAATATTTTGGGCTGGGCTGGGAGGGGGATAGATCTCTTAAGGTCTCCCGTAAGGCATCTGTAGCAAGTTCTTAGTGTCTTTCTTTCCGTGATCTATGTGTAAATGCTGCACCGATGTATATTATGCACATAAAACATTTCTTTGAATAAGATAGGACAGACCTCATCACCAGTCAGGTATAAACTATTCTTCCTCTTTCGTGTGTTAGTTTTTCACTGTATGTATGTGTGTGCGTGTATGTATACCTGTATGCGATGAGCATCTTTTCAAATTCACTTTTGGTGCAAAAACAAAAGGGATGAAAAAGAAAAGAAAGAAAAATAGCCTTACTTTTAATTCCAATCCTATCTTAGTTTGTCAACTTGAATATAATAAAGCAGAATTGCATGGAAGTCTTTGAAACTAGCTGAGCCTCGTGTGCACGGTGAGTGGCAGTAAACTGTTTTTCTAAACAAAAAAAAATTAGTATGCAATTTCAGCCACACAGCTTTTAGGAAAAAAATCCCTGCATTTTGTTTTTGTTTTTAAGAATGGCGCGTAGGGAGGGGGGGGAGGGGGTTGATTATACCAGCTTGTGCCTGCTTTGCCTTCTCAAAAACTTGGGAATTAGTTCCCATTTGCTTACCCTTCATGCTGACCAGAAGAGAGATTTCATAAAGGAGCTTACATTGTTTTTTTTTTTTTTATGAAACCGATGTTTTCCAGATGATAGTAAGATCTTTGATAACCTCTTCGGACATCAGGTGTACTGGCAGTATAGATTAACAGCCTGTTTGGTTTTTGGAGATAATAACACGGGGTTGAGGGAGGAAAATAAGGACAGACACAACAGCAGGTGGTTCAGATTATCTGCTTTCCAAGGTAGTGTTGCATCCCGTTTGGCCTGCATAAATGATTACTACATTTTAGATACAACTTCCTATTGCACTTCTATCAGAAGTAGGGAAAAGGTTAAAAAAAAAATGACTGGAAGTGTGGAAATTACTCTAGTTGGTCTTTTGACCTGCACCATGGATATATGAATCTATTGTGTAATTTTTGTCCCAGTTATTTGGTTGCAGCACTGTAAATCTGGTATCCCTTCTGTCAACTTAATTATGAAGATAAGGAGAAAGGTTAGTTTCAAGTCCTGCCTCTTTATGGTGATATAATTAGGGTTTGTCAATGTACAGCTGTCCCCTCTAAATTTACTATTCTTACGTGCAATCCTCTATGATTTTTCATCTTTAATTTAGGAAATGCAAATATCCTGGATATTTGGAGGAGGGGGAAATAAATGGAATAGCCTCACAGAAACAAATGTTTCAGACTTGAGAACAAGCCTAGATTCTTATATTCTGAGAATTTCTTTGATATATGAAATTTGCACTGATCAATTGCAGATCTCTTAGGCAAAATTGGAGATAGAGGCATTAACAAACAAGCACACTTAGGGAGATGAGAAGTGGGAGATAAAAGATCAAAACCAAAGGGAAATTTGATATTGCGGGTTCTTGGAGTTTGATACAGAGAAGACTTCTGTATGGCTTTGGGCATCTTGTAGACAATGTTGAGTGGTTTGACTCACTTTTTAGAATCCTGCAGCGTACAAAAGTAAACTCTTTTTATACTGACAGAAACAGACAGAGGCCAGTGAAGGAATTAGCTTTTAAAATGACAGAACTAGAAAAAAAATCATTGCCGAAGGTAAGATTTGGAAACATGCTTTATGGACTAAAAGTGACTGGGGTATTATTGTACTGTGTTAGTTGCCAGTTCTTAATATTTTGAAAGGCATTTTTCTTTGCTGGTCCACTTGAAGATATTTATTGAAATGGCTGCTGATAGTTTTGTATGCATGTCCTTACTTGAATGTTTTGGAAAAATAATAGTGAAAGGAAGTTTCTTGCAGTTAACCTAAGTGTTGTGTCAGCATCTCATGCTTGCTGACATTGGAGTAGGGAATGAGTAAGACTGAGAGAAATGCATTTAAAGGCAGCCTGCCGGCATTTGTCCAATTTCTTTCCCTGCTTCTCCTCTATCTTGGGATTCATCTTTTGGCACTATCCAATTGACTTCTGATTCTTTTAGAAAGAGGATATGTTAATCCAGGCGGTTAGATTTCAAAACAGAAACTGAAACAGATATTGTATTGAAAGAACACTCTTAAAAATGTTAACCATTCCAGGCGCCTTAGCTACCTAACATGAATGTAGCTTGTTTACCTTATGAGAAGAAGCACTTTACAATGCTCTTCTATGTTCCTCGTAGTGCAAAGGTTAATAATTTAACATCGACAGAATATGTAGGAAGCCCATTTTGATAGGAAAAAGGGGAGCATGATGGTAGTTGGGTCAGATCCTTCTCCTCAAGTATGAACTGTAATTGGCTCCCCCTGTCTCATTTATAATTTTGTCTAACTTCACTTACTCTTATCCTTCATCTCATAAATAAAAGCAGGCAGACTATTTAGGATTTCTTTTTATCTCCCCTTCTCTCTGAATTTTCTCTTGTATACCAAGGTTTTCTGATCTCTTGAGGTTCTCTTTTTTTCCTAAAGTGAGCAATGCTTAGTCGTAAAGCCTTATGAAGGTTTAGCTTAGTCTGTGTGAAAGTTGGAGGGTATTGGATCTCAGGTGGAATGGGTGGAACCTAACATTGCCTTCCTTCTATTACTGCAATCCATACATATTACTCTAGTACCTTAAAAATTAGTTGTGGGTATGGTGACTCCATTCTTTGGATGTTTGGTTTTCAGACTTATAATCCAACTTTTCTAGGGTGAGAACATCAGCTTTGGGAAGGCTGAACTAAAACAAATTGTGTGTTCATTCTTGCTATGGTAGTTTTCTTTCCTCCCTGTAATTTGATGCCATGTTGTATAGATTCAGAGCTTTTAAAAATTGCACTAAATATGTATGTGGCAGTTTCTGATTTTTCATTTAATTTTTTCCCAAATCAAAAAGTTTCTTCTGTTAGTAGGGAATGGCATAAATTATTTGCCATATCTGTTATTTGTTCCTTTTGGCTTTCTAATGGATCTTGCTTCCTTTCATACTAAAGCAGCACGGTACCAAAGGATATAATGCTGAATTCTTCAGTTTCATTACGTATTTTCTTTATTCCTTGTGCTTTTTTCCCCTTCAAATTAATCTGTCATTCTCTCCCCACATTAATACATTTTATCAATTATTGCTGTTATCTGTTTTCACTTCTAAGACTTGCAAGTGATTTCAAACTGTAAGTACAGGGGCCCTGGTGTAAGATTTCAGTCCCAGAGCTTCGGGCCCTCCAGGCTTCTAAAACGCAGATGCAGGTATATTTACAAATTTATCTCCAGCAGAGATTGAGAAATAGACTTTCTCTCCACCACCACCACCACCACCCCTTCCCCACCTGCTAGCTTTTCACATGGGAAAAGAAGATACAAGCTGTAGTGAGATTTCTCTCTCTCCTTTTCTGGCACCAAGCCTAGGCCTTCCGCAAGTCCGGAAAGAAGGAGGTGTGTGTTTTTTTTTTCCAGAAGTAATGGCTAAGTAGGGCCTAGTTTTGTGCTGAAGAATTGTAAAAAAAGTGGGGATTATTGGTCATGTACCTCTGGCTAAAGGGCCTGGCCCTTCTCCCCCTTTGAAGCTGAACTAATTTGGGGTGAGAATAGGGCCTCCTTCTGATTTTCTTAAATATCCATGCTCTTGGAATAAAGCACAAACAGGGTTTTCTGTAGTAGATTAATTAGCAAAAGAAACTGGCAATAAAACGTGGCAAGTAACCAAGGGTTTTCTTAATAAAGAAATGAGAATTGTAAGTAGCCATGCAACTTTCTGTCTCTAGATATAAATCCTGTAAATTACTATCATAATAGCAGTCTCAAAAGTGATAATAAGAACATCTATCCTCCTAGTAGCAGTCCTTATCACTTTTGAGACCTATGTTACAGTGAGCGTACACAAAGAAAAAGAACACCCATTTTGGTGATTGGTTGAGAATGTGTTGAGGCAAACATGCACAATTATACGTGGAAGTGGCTTAAACTCTTAGCTTTTTGTGAGTTTTATTTTTAGTTCTTTTCACAAGAATCTGACAAAAGCTCTCAAGTTGCATTCATATGTTAAAAGTTATTGTGTTATACACCCACCTTTAGATTGTTTACCTTCTAAATTAAGAAAAGGCTTAAATTGATACTGATTGGCTAAGATGTGCTTCGATGTTTTTATGCTAAAAATGCATATGCATTTCTCAAAAAATAGCTTCATGACATAATTTTTCTTCTACTACTTTTCCAAGTCCCATCTTAGCATCCTCCAGATATTCTGGGTACCAGCATTCATCCTCACCCAGTGTGGCCATTGGCCCACGGACCAGAAATTAAAGAGTTGGTGCAAGAAATTTAGAGGACGCCAACATAGAGAAGACTATCATATTGGGTAAATTTTGGATCTAAGCCTCTACTTTAATTGATGTTATGATGAGGGATGTATAGAGTAGCTCATATTTTCCCCCACCCCAAAAAGGGAGGGGACTCCACATTCACCACTTCCTTAAATTTAATATGAATGTTAGAACTTTCCAAACCACTCAGGTGTGATAAAACAGTATGTCCTGCATGTTATTCAGAGGGAATAAGTTACATCAATGAGACCTGCAATTTGCTCTGGAAATCAGTAAACCCTTAATTCCTCCCCCCCCCCCCGGCAGTTTATTTTGAATCTAAGATTGGGAGACCATGTTGACAATCTAACTAGAGCGTGCCTGCATTTGTTTCTTGAAGTGGAATTGTGAACATACTATTATTAACTGTTAGCATTCCTGTTGCATGTTTGTTTTGAATTACTTGGCCATGCCTTCTTTGCAACTTGGAAGTCATGAACTGGGGTGAAATTGGAAACTCGGAGCGGTTTTCCTTTGAAGACCTGGAGGAGTTGCTTTCTTTTCCTCCTGTTGGGTTCATGACAGACCACACGCCCCAGTAACAGCCAACCTGCTGTTTTTATTAGTTGTGGGCTTGTCTTATAGCAATACTTGTTGGCTGTGAGCTTGTGGGCACTTCAAAAGTCACCTGTGCTTGAAATAGATTTCTTCTTTGGGAGCAGCAATAATGGGGGTAGAAGGAGGGAGGGAGAGTAAAACTGGTTGCTGTGTTGAGGGTTTGTAGTCTGTTCTATAGTTTGTACTATCGGGTGTTTCGTGTTCTGTTTTATTTAAATTTGGGAGGGGGGGTGCATTCTAATGATAAATGGAAGGATTTTGAAGTATTGTGATAAGATTCTTTATAAGCACTGATTTCAGCCCCAATGGGAGCTTTCTGCTTTGAAAGCTTTGATGATCTTTAATCGCTCATGTACTGTACCTTCCCATAGTTGTGCTCCGTTGCTTTTGCCAGTTCTTTCTTCCTTCCTTGGTTTCTTTATCCTGAGATGCACAAATGGTATGTATCTTTTAAGGGGGCACGCTAACTGTGTTTTTCGTTGTCTGGGTAAGGTAGATGCAGCCAATGTTTTGTGACAGTGTTTGTAGTCAGGGGTGACTTAGACAATATATTGTGTCTGCATGAGCCACGAACTGTGCTTTCCCCCCCCCCCCCCAACTCTGTCTTTTCTTCCCAGCCATAGCTGCAAGTATGCAACAGAGTCGGGGAGGAAAGTATGAGGGCATTGCACACATTGTACACTTTCCTTGTTTTAGCTAGGGAGGGCAGTCTAATTTACATATATGTATTTTCCAGCCTGTCTTCTAAGGACTGACAAAGTTACCTTACTGTTGATGCTAACTGTTAGCAGATTGTTGAAATATGGTGCAATTCTTTCAGGGTGGCTTTAATCAGCAGAAGATAAAGGCCAGACATTTTTTTTTTTTTGGTCCTTGTATAAATAATTATCTTAAAATATGAATTCATTCAAACACCCTTTGCCTAGCTCCTTTTTCTTGGCTGCTGAGCACTTCTCAATTCGTTGCATTTCAGTCTGGGACCAACACCATATAATGTAGCCCTTAACAGCTAGGAGAACCACAATAAATCCTCAAAGGAAATCTGTCATTTCCACTGAAAATGGAGACAGAGCGTTAAAGCAGCCTTTTCCAACTGCTGCTGGCTAGATGTGTTGGATTTTAACTTGCCCACCCTTTGGCTGTGCTGGCTTGGGCACTGTGAGAATTGAAGTCCACCCAGCTGAGGCCCAAAGTGGGAAAGGGTGCATTAAAGTATTTTTTTTTTTCCTGCTTAACCTGTAACTGCTGCTTATAAATGGAAGGCTTTTGTCTTTCACATTGAATCACTTGGTCCAAAGGCATTCAGAGAAGAGTGTATATCCTGACCACGACGTCAGTTTAAGCATTCTCTTAGCTTTATCTGCACATTTGGGGCAAGGCTTTTAATCCTTGGTTAGCATTGCCATAGTATTTTCTCTAACTGCATGGAGGCCAGGGTGCTTCATTTTGGCTTCGGCCTCAGTTCTTAAGGGAACTGAGAGGGAAATTGCCCCAGCTTAGAAGTTGTTTTAGTAGACTTTTTTTTTTTCTTTTTGTCTATTATGGCCACCTGCAGGAATGCAGGAAACTTGAGGAGCACTTGGCTCTACAATAAAAATGGTTCTCCGCCTTTGATTAAGCTCTCTGCATCTGGGACCAGAGCCACAGCCTCCTGACCAGAGCAGGTCAAGGATTTCCACTTAATCTGTGTGAAAAAAGGAATTTGGAGAAGGGGAATGGATGTTAGCATTTGCCCCTCGTGCAAGCCCTCCACATTGTGTGCATGGGTATTTGCAGGCAGAGTCTTCATGTGCATTCATTACAGGTGGTGTTAAGATTGGCTAAAGTGATAAAGTCGAATCTTGTTTTTATTTCTTTCGTATTTAAAATTAGAGTCCCTCTAATACAGTGTTTCTCAACCTTGACCATTTTAAGGCATGTGGACTTCAACTCCCAGAATTCCACAGCCAGCAGTGCTGGCTGTGGAATTCTGGGAGTTGAAGTCCACATGCCTTAAAATGGTCAAGGTTGAGAAACACTGCTCTAATAAATAAAACAAGAACTCCAGTGAACTTCCATAACAGAGTTTTCTGAAACAAAATCCTTTGTTACCTTTACCACTGAATTAATTGTAATCTGCATTAGTTTTATATTTGGGATATTTTATGTCCCATTCCTCCTCCTCCTCCTCCTGCCAGGGTGGAAAAGCTCTCTAGGATTATAGAGATGTCTGTACTGTACTAAAAAGTGGATAGGTGTCTTGATATGGAAATCAGTTTATATTTCAACAGTTTGATTGGGGTGTGGAGGAAGAATGGGTCTTCATACCTAATTCTTACAGTAAAAACCTGAGCACATCAGGGAACACAAAACCCCTTCTTGCTCTTATGATGCTTCACATCTTAAAACACCAGGCAAGGAGGAAAAATCTATAGGATGGGATGTGGTTTCCTATGATCCTTTAAAGAGCATTAATGTGGGAGGAGGAATGGAAGGCAGTTTTTAGATCAGCACCTCATATTTACTGGACCTGTTTTGTATTTGGTCTTTTGTATTTAATAGGGTAGAATGGGATTGGGAAATAATATTATGTTTTCACCTTTAGAGCACTGAATCTACAACCTGCTGATCAAGACCAGCATGCAACCATGTTGACCTCCTTTGAGGCAGGGGCCTTAATTGGGATCATTTAGTTAAGCAGATATTTTTAAATTAGACGCCTGTGTGTGTGCGTGTGTGCGCGTGCATGTGTATGAGTGTGTATATGTTGTAATGGGTGAAGATGGGAGTATTGTTTGAATGGTAATATTTTGAGTTTGGGGGATGAATGATAAGCTATTGGAGCAAGAATGGAAGTGCTGCCTATGAAGCATTGCCCTTCTCCATTGCTTGTACTTTTGGAACTATAATGATTGTGGGGAAGTTTAACTTTGCCCCCTTATCTTGCTAGTATTGGAAAGCTTGGACCAATGTTTAGAAGAGATTATTAAAAATAAGCATTCAAGTCAGCTCACAGGCCTGCCTCCTTACTTGCAGACACATGATCTTCCTTCAAACACTGGTTTAAAGCACAAAAAAAAAAAAAAAGTACCCAAATGCTCACTCTGGGTATTTGAGAAGAGGGTTTGGTTACAGGGCAGGAGTTGCCAAGGTCAGTTCACACATTCCCCAAAGTCTGCTTTTAAGCCCAATGCAAAGGAAGTTCCTGATATGCAATCAGAGTGTTGCTCTTTTGAGACTGATTGGTAATCTTCCTTTCTTATGGATCTCCTTGCCCTCATTTCTTCACTGGAAGCAGTATTTTTTAAGTTTTTTTTTTTAAGTAATTATGTTTCCCTCAAGAGTTTTATTCTTAGAAAGGCAGATCTGTCAGACCAACCATCAATTATTCCTCCTTTTCTTCCCCACCCCGGACCCCAGCCTGGTTGTTCCATGAAATGAAAACATTATGTTAAGAGATCTATGTAAAATCATATTGAATAACAATGCAGTGAGGTATCACAAGCCATTCATCCCCCTTTCTACACATCTCAGTCTTGCGCAGTGTGGAAGCCACCTTGTATAAGCCCTTTACATGAATTCAGTGAATGGTTAACCTTTTTTTGTCTCAGATGATATATATGCATTTTCAAAATTTCTGCATTACCTTTGGGGGGGGGGTTGGGGAAAGGGGTTAACAGGAACTTAAAACTAAAATTAAAAAAAAACAAAGCATTCAGACTTGATCTATTTTCTACAATGTATGCTGCGACCAGGTCCTGTTATTCATATTGTGGCTTTGAATCAATTATGTTGATTAAAATGCTGTTGCTTCTATTTGCCTTGCTTTTTTTGTGTGTCTCCAGATACAACAATGTAAATAAAAATACAGGGGATACAGGTGAGAATTCTTGATGCCATGACTAATATTTCATAATCTGAGTCAAAAATACATTTTCAAACCACAGATAATTTTACAATCTGTAAAACACTTTCCCCCTTCCACATCAATATCCATCTGAGTACCTTTTATACCAGTCAGCTGGTAGCCAGACAGGGCAATTCTATTTAATCAACTCTGAGGTGCAGAAATATAAAAAAAATCCATCCTATGCAGAAGCTCAGTTTTGACTGCATGAATTCAAGACATTTCTATAGAGCAGTGTTTCCCAAACTTGACAATTTTAAGGCATGTGGACTTCAACTCCCAGAATTCCACAGCCAGCAACGCTGGGACTTCTGGGAGTTGAAGTCCACATGCCTTAAAATTGTCAAGTTTGGGAAACACTGCTATAGAGGTACATGCCTATTCAGTGTGGTTTACTTCTAGGTTAAAAAATGTAACTACCTTTGGACGAAGAGTTACCTTGAATAGGGCAAAAGAGGAGGAAGAAAAAGAGGGGGGGAATGGAGTATTTTTGCTATTTGAGAAGTGAATTCAACTCAAGTGATACCATATCTCAGAATGTAATATATCAGCAAACTAAACAGCTATAGAACAAATAAATGAGGAAATTATATGACAGTCTAGGTGGCTACTGCATGCGCAGCTAGAAACACCCCACTTGGGATTCAAATGATTGATCAGTAAAGCTGAAGTTGACAGCACACACCCACACCAAAAAGCATGAGAAAATAAGCGGGGAGCTTGACCACAGTGTGTTTAACAGGTGCCTATTTCCACACCAGTTGTAGGTTCCCAGAAACAGGCAACCAGCACAGGAAATAATCCTGCACAAATACTGAGGGATTGCCTGTTTCATTATCTTGGGTATAATTCCAGAGCCTTTCTCTTTAGATTTACAGGAATGGAGAACGCTGTCTCTTTTATGACTCGTGGACTTCAACTCCCAGAATTCCAGAGCCAGCATGAAGTCCACAAATTGTAAAAGGGCCAGTGTTCCCCACCTCTGCTTTAGAATATGATGTCAGCCGAAGACCATTAAGAATGTTCTGGTTGTGTCTATCGGAAAAGCTCCTCTGCTCTAACATAGGCCAGTTGGATAGTCATCCACCTCTTGTAGCTCAGCTGTTTTTTTCCCTAGGCATCATCTTCCTGCCTTTCACAGCTGTTTATTCCAAAACTGATGGCCTTTCCTTGCCATTGTGGAAATCTTGTTCTTTACAATTTGTGCTGGAGAATTGAGGGAAGGGGAGGATACCTATCTATGTCTTTGGAAGTTTCCTGATTTAAGAGACTGGAATTCTGCCCTGTTACCTCCAGCAACCTTGTGCAGCATATTATGAAGTGTCCCCAAGAGGAACATTTTTTAGACATTTTTATAGGTAGTGGCAATGAATGCTGCTGAAAAAAATAAAATTTAAAGACAGTTTCATCTGCTCTTTGCTTGTGCTTTTATTGCTTGTCCTGTTAAGACTTCCTTAGATTCCTTCAGAGGAGATATTAATGTAGGATTGGTGTCCAGAGCGTCTTCCTGTTTCTGTCTCTTATCGCTGGGAAAAGGTGACCCTTATCTATGCATATTTGCCCTATGCATACACCTACAAGAGTCCTTTCTTCACAGAAACCAACTCTCAAGCTCCTCTTGGATGGTGTCTCAGGTTTAACTGGGTGTTCATATCTTTGTAAGACCCAAATTTCTAACCTGGAATAACTGCTGCTCTTGAAACCATTATTTAACCAAAATGCAGTAGGAACCATGAGTACCTGGTACAATACTAGCACCAAGGGGTTACCTGGAAAAGGTACAGTTTCTTAAATAATTTCATCTTATGTTGAAAATGTCATGGTTCCGATAGATGAGACCCCTAAAAACAGAACTCCAAGGCAGAAAGTTTCCTTAAAGAACATATTTATTGGCTACAAAGTACTGGCAGGATCAAAAGTGAAACCAAGACTGAAGTTCCTTCCCAAAGATTACAATGTTGCAAAGTTGAACTTCCCACCGCAGCATGATGTCATAAATAACATTCCCCAATTAACTACTTTGGTGGCCTTTCTAAGGGAAGGCTCAGTCCATCAAAACCCAGGTAGCAATGATCTTGGTTCCCACGGGACAATTTACTATTTTGTCTAACCTTAAAAGCACACATCCTCCCTCCCATACTGTGGCAACCGAAAACGAAGTAGAAATGGCTTCAGCCAAATTCGTTGCAGCGTTGACAGAAACACATTTAAATTAGGTCCACTCTCCTAAAACAACTGTCCCCTCCTCCATTTAACAAAGTATAATGGGTTTTCAACATGCTAATTTTAGTGGCAGCCTACTTTATTTTACAATATCAAGCAGGCTGAATTAGACTTAAATTTTCTTGGCACCATACCCATTATCGCAGGATTGTGGGGGTTGGCAAAAGTGTTTGTCCCTCATCCTTCCAAACTTTCTTTTGTTCTCCTCTCCAACTTCCTTGGATTATCCAATCACAGTAAAAGGATTTTACAGCTGCCTTTTCAGCTATAGGAAGAAGACAGTCATAACTGACAACAGAGCCACGAGTGCATTTTGCCTTGCAGCTGGGAATTCCTTTTGAAATGTCTTACTCATCCATGCGGACACTGATATGTTCTTCAAAGAGAGCAATGCAGAGCATGAGGCCACCTCCACTGAGAAAGCCCAAGTTCTGAAGAACGAAGTGTCTGAAGGATCTTTTTCTCCGGCTGGTAGAATGTCGCTGCAACATTTCAGGTAGCTAGAGAAAAACAACCAGCGGTTATCACTTTGACAGCATTCATAGTCTAGTTAGTACAAACTGACAGAATCTTTGCCCATAAGTAGAGAGCAACAGCCACTGTACAGTCCTATCTTAATCACATTGCAATTTTGGGCTACTTAAGTCATTAAACAATTCAGCACCAGGTATTTAACCCATGAAAAAGGGCCACTCATGCACCAGGAAATTTTTCAAGATGTTTTCTAAAGAAAGTGCCATGTAGGCTACAAGGCATGTTTCTGAAATTTCCCCGCAGTTTGGATTTTAGAGTCACAAGCCCTAATTCCGCACAAATGTCCTGCATATCCTTTTAGACTTAATCTCGTTTCCTATAGTCTATAAAGGGAGGAACAATCAGAAGCAAAGTGTCTGAAATTATAGTTCCACCTTTCCTGTCCTGTTACAAGTACTAGATTCTGTTTTTTACCCCAAAGCTTTGGCAATCCACTTCTACAGTATTTGGGAGAGAGGAGAAACATTAATATTCCAAATAAATGGTTTAAAATCTCAGAGACAAGATGCTGAATTCAGAGAGGTAAACTTGATCTCAAATATATTTCCACTTGGACCTCCCTTGATCTTGAAAAGCTACAGCAGATGGGACAAGGCAGGAAACAGGGCCAGAGGTAGCAAGGATCCAAAAAAATCCTCAAATTTTGCATGTTCCCAGACACAAGTCTTGCATGTTCCCTTCCCGTTGCTTGGTTGAAACTAAAGCTTTAGATTTGAAAAACATATTAACCACCCCCTGCAATTTGGGCATCATTTTCTCTCTCCCAATTTAATACAGGATTGTGAAATGAAAACACCGATTTGTGCTTTTTATAAAGAAGGGTGAGGAAGGAGAGCAACAAGTAAGAAAGAACATGTAACATTCTATGGGCTTCAAGTGTCATTGTAGTGGTTGAACTTGGAGTAGAGAGGCTTGTTTCAAGGCTCCAGATACCTACAAAATTCAGGGGGTGAGTCTAGGCCAGGGGTAGGCAACCTTGGCTCTTTTATGACTCATGGACTTCAACTCCCAGAATTCCTGAGCCAGGAATTGAAGTCCACGAGTCATAAAAGAGCCAAGGTTCCCTACCCCTGGTCTAGGCCCTCTGCTACCAATCAATCTTACTTCATTGCTACCATAAAGGTAAATTTAGGGAAGACTCCCACATATACCACTGGTCAAAAAAAGGTCAGATAGAAATATAATAAATTAAGGCTTGCACCATACATAGAGAAATGAAACACAATTTCTTACCATATCAACCAGAGCTACATAAAGAAAAACACCAGCTGTGGTGGCAAAGATCCAGGGAGTGACTTGGGAAGTGTTCTGACTGACAATTGTCCCTAACACCATGCCCCAATAAGCCAGGAAAGCAGACAGCAGGTTAAACAACAGCACCCACCGGAGTGGCATGCCCGCCCGGAGTAGGACAGCACAGTCTCCTGCCAAAGAGAGAGAAAGTTAAGGCTACCTCAACCCCCCTTGAAACCAGCAATGTCTAGGCATGAACCTGTTGGGGCAGGACGTGACCACTTTTGCTTCCATGGTGCTTTGGGCAAGCTTGAAAACAAGACATGCAAAAAGATCAGTTAGTCCTGTAGCAGCAGCAGCCCTTGTTCACTCACCCAGTTCATGGGGTAGTTCATGGCAAAAGACCGCCAACGTAGTGCTTAAGCCACTGGAGAGTCCATTTGAGAAGGCAGCCCCTAAAGTAGAAGAACAGTGTAGCAAGGCATGTAAGTCTAAAAGAACCTTTGTGGCGTAGCAGTGTTGGGCTAGGAGGGAGAGGTCCCAGGTTCTAGTCCACTCTCAGCCACAGAAGTTCCCTGGCAATTGTGAGATGGTCAGTTTCTCTCACCCCAGCCTCCCTCATAGGATTGTGAGGGGAGAGGAAAAGCAGGAAGAGGGAGTGCTATGTATGCCACCTTAAGCTCCTGAGAAAAGGTTCTGAAAGAAGTAGACTATTTTGCTTTTCTGTCACAAGATGGGACCAAGGTGTGCTTAGAAACCACTGACCTATTGCCAATCCATCTGTGAAATTGTGTACCCCATCCCCAAGAATAACCATCCAAGCAATGTCAGCTATCCCAGCCTTGAGAGTCCCAACTGGGCTGTGGGAGTGACCATGATGATGTATCTCTTCTGTTTGCTTCTCCAGGCTTGTCCTGTGGTTTTCCGAGTTGTGAATTTGAATGGAGCAGTCCTGGACTTTGCCATTTTCATTACCAGGGTCCTCTTCCGGCACTCTCAAACTCTGCAATTCAGCACCTGAAGAGTTTAGACCATATATATATATATTTTCTGAGGTTTTCGTGGGTGTTTGTATGTAGGTCTTTGGTTATTCGGGTTTTCTCCCGCGTCAAATTGGAAGTGTCTTGGCGACATTTCGATGAAGTCTCATTCATCATCTTCAGGCTGGTGTTTTCGGCTTCGTGCTTCTAGGAGCAAATGACGAATGAGACTTCGTCGAAACGTTGCAGCACGAAACACGAAGCTGAAAACACCAGCCTGAAGATGACGAATGGGACTTCGTCGAAACGTCGCCAAGACACTTCCAATTTTACGCAGGAGAAAACCCGAACAACCAAAGACCTACATATATATATATATATATATATATATATATATATATATATATATATATATATATATATATATATATATATATATATTTCGATAGATAAAAAGACAATCACCAGGAAGTAAAACAACAAAGTTTTAATAAATAACCAAGCTTTCGATGGCTCAAAATCTGCCATCATCGTCAGGGTGTAAACCAGTCAATGGGGAAACTTGCTTATAAATGCAGCCGTGCCTGCACTCGGCTCATGGATCTCATGATGGGTCCTAGCCGGCCGTTCCTTGCCTCACTTACAACATCAGATGATTCATCCTTACATCCTTTACTTACATTTATGTCACCACCCACCTCCCCGTTCCCTTGTGTCCGCAAATCGGAGGGGGAGCGTTCTTTATTTCCCCAGGTTGGAGTATCCTTCCCATTACTGGATCGATTCTCCTTCTTATACTCTTCAGGATGCTTCCTTCCTCCACCCTTTTGGCATGCGCCATAACCGTTTATACTTTCGTTATCACAATATTCCGCCCTGGGGATCCTACATCGGTTCCCATGTTCCAACATATTGATTCCTATCATCCTTCCAGCAGGGAATGGGGAGGTGGGTGGTGACATAAATGTAAGTAAAGGATGTAAGGATGAATCATCTGATGTTGTAAGTGAGGCAAGGATCGTCCGGCTGGGACCCGTCACGAGATCCATGAGCCGAGTGCAGGCGCGGCTGCATTTATAAGCAAGTTTCCCCATTGACTGGTTTACACCCTGACGATGATGGCAGATTTTGAGCCATCGCAAGCATGGTTATTTATTAAAACTTTGTTGTTTTACTTCCTGGTGATCGTCTTTTTATCTTTCGAAATGTATGTGCCCAGGAATCATTATTTAACATGCCTCTTTGACATCACGTCTTAAGATCTTAGAAGTTGTGACTAAGAGCCTAGGAAACTGAGAAGATGCACATTCTGTAGAGCTATCTCCAAGAACAGAGGGGCATAGCTTTGGAACAGCAGTTTGGCTTGTTTCCTAATCTTATTCAGTTTAAGAAATAAAGGCACTGAGGTTTCAGGGAAACGTGTTAGGCCTTTGACCCACCTAGCAATCCATTAGGACCTAGAGAGACTGAGCAAAAACACAGGTTAGTTTCATGCCATTTTGCTGCTGAAGGACATTATTCTCCCTTGATTGCACTTGATGGCAATTGATCATTTTAGAGATTCTGGACAAGGCCCTGCAACAGATGCTGCCTGTCTTCTACCCTTAGCTCCACTCTCTAATCATCTTGTTTATTTAAAACTTTTATGCAGTCACCATCTTTCAGCCCACTCTGGGTGGCTCCCAAGCAAAGATTAAAAACGTATAAAATCATTTTAAAAACTATTAAACATAACCATTTAAAACATAAAACATTAGACTTCCAGTTTTGGCTTCACGGCGAGGCAGACTCAGGAAGACGGGGCTCTGTCTTCTACGTTTGATTTCGCCCCACTGGGGGACCTTGGAAAGGGCCAAAAGTCACCCCGTAGAGGCAACAAGCAAGGAGGGGACCCTCATTGATCATGGGGGGGGGGCGGCGGCAGCCCTCCTGTTTGATCCGAGGAAGCCCTCCAAACTGGCAGGTGAAAGACTGGCTACATTCGGGTAGCCAGTCAGAAGGTGCTGTCAACAGAAGACAACATGCACTATTAAGCAATCTTACAGGAACTTGGATGAAACTGGGTGAGACCTAAGCCTCTCTTTATGACTTTAAGACTTCTTCCTAAAATTCTTTCCAAAGCACTCCCCGCAAGGAGGGAAAGGGAATTTTCACCCCATTTCCTCAGGAAAGCGGCGAATTAATTACTTGGGGAAAAAATGAGAAACTTACAAGACTAATTTGGACTTTATATATATATAACTTGGAAATTTGGGGACTAAAAGTGCTTTTAAGACCTTTTTTTAAAAGAAAGACTTGAAAAGTTTACAATATAAGTTTTGGATTTAAAATCTGAAAAACAGCGTTGATGACATCTAATGTGAATTACGGCACTACAACTTATTTATATGCAAAAGAAACCTGGCTCAAATCCCAGAGCTAGATAAGACTTTGGCTGGCCTTGAAGCTTTTATTTTTGAGAACTGCAGCTGAGAAAATGGAACAGACTTGGGAGCTGCTTATCTATGTGGTAGAGATGATAATATTATTCTAAAATTGGCCTGTCTGAACTATGAACACAAACACTGACTTTCAGAGCTATGTTATGGAAGTATTTTCCTGTAGAAGAAACATACACTATTGCCTGCTATGATGTTACACTTTGGATTATAAATTTGACTGTTACAACTTTTAATGTTTCTTTTTACTCTCTGGACAGAAAGGATATTTTTCTCATTGGACAAAAAAATTTGAATTTTACTTATATCTGCTTAGGGGAGGTTTAAGAATGGCTAGTTGGTTGGATAAATTTATAAAGACTACTTACAAAAATACAATGGATAGTTCATATTTAGCTCTAAATAGTAAAAAAAACACATCCTTAATCTTTGTCTCCAGAAATTTCAGTTTGCCATATTACCAAGAAAATACTGATGAACCACAGAAAGAAATTCTTCCTTGTTGAAACTAATACAAGAAACAATCATTTTAGCTCGTGATGAGATTCAAAATAACACAAAGGAGATAAAAGAGCAATCTTCTAATTTTAGTTTACAAACTCAGAAAATAACTACAGAGAAGGAACCAGCAACCCAGAAAATAGAAGGAAAACCAGATATGCCGACACAAATTTTGAGGATCTAAAGGAAAAAACCAGTGACCAGACTCAGATAAATGAAGACTTAGAAGACATAACAATAACATCAGAAATGGAAAAGACATTTTACAAACAAAGGTTTCAGAACATACTGGAGGATAAGGAAGGAGAGCTGATGGAATGGAAGATAAAGCCATTAACAGAACTGTGGGGAATTGGAGGAGGGAGGCTGTTTAATGAATCTCAACGGGCTAGTTCTTCCAAAAATGCTTTAATTAAATTGTTTCTCTTATCTCAAATAATATACACAAAAATAGAGGAAGAATTATTTGATGATCCAAATGCACTGACATGGAAAGTTAGTTGGCAAAGGAAGAAAGCTAAAGTAAGACTGAAGGAAATAGAAGCTTTGACCTATTAGAGGGGATGTTATATTATCAATTAAATGTTTGAATATGGTTAAGAATAGATTGCTAGAAATAGAAGTATTATTATTATAACTAGATAGATAGGATTTGTAATCAAAATATCATATCTTGGTATGAAAAGGGAAATAAGAATATGTTAAGAACTTTGAATAAGGAAAGCTTTTGGTTACCCAAATATAACTGTTCTGAAATTATAAATGATTGGGATATTTTGAACATGAATGGGGAATTAAAATTGAAAAAAGCGAAAATAGAAGATAGACTGAATAAATGGATATTGAGTGCAAATGCAATTAAGATATGCTTTGGTTAGTAAAGATATTATAAACTGATATTATTGACACTATTAGAAAAATGCAACAAATGTTGATAGGCAATTGTATATTTACTTATAATAAGAATTGTATTTGCCTAGTGTAGAAAAATGTCTATTACCAGAAGAGGAGAGATTGTACTGGAGGGTGTAACATTGGATTTAATTTGAAGAAGCCTACATGTACTATGGAATCACTAATGGACTCAATCTTTTAGTTGTCTATTAGGCACTTGATTGTAAAAATAGAAAATTAATAAAATATTTGATATTAAGGATTGTTTTTTACTATTTAGAGCTAAGTATGAAGTATCCATTTTATTTTTATAAGTAGTCTTTATAAATTTATCCAACCAACTACTAGCCATTCTTAAACCTCCCCTAAGCAGATATAAGTAAACTTCAAATTTTTCTGTCCAATGAGAAAAATATCCTTTCTGTCCAGGGAGAAAAAAGAACCATTAAAGGTTGTTTAACAATCAAAATTTATAATCTAAAGTGTTCCATCATATCAGGCAATAGTGTATGTTTCTTCTACAGGAAAATAGTTCTACAATACAGTTCTATTTGTGTTCATAGTTCAGACAGGCCAATTTTAGAATAATATTATCATCTCTGCCACACAGATAAGCAGCCCCCAAGTCTGTTCCTTTTTCTCAGCTGCAGTTCTCAAAAGTAAAAGCTTCAAGGCCAGCCAAAGTCTTATCTAGCTCTGGGTTTCGAGCCAGGCTTTTCAGTTTTTAAATCCAAAACTTATATTGTAAACTTTTCAAGTCTTTCTTTTTAAAAAAAGGTCTTAAAAGCACTTTTTACATATATATATATATATATATATGTAATTAATTTGCCGCTTTTCTAGGGGAATGGGGTGGGAATTTCCTTTCCTTTCTCCTTGGGGGGAGTGCTTTGGGCAGATTTTGAGGAAGAAGTCTTAAAGTCATAAAGAGAGGCTTACATCTCACCCAGTTTCATCCACGTTGCTGTAAGATTGCTTGAGAGTGCATGTTGTCTTCATTTGACAGCACCTTCTGACTGCCTATGTGAATGTAGCCAGTCTTTCCACTGCCGGTTTGGAGGGCTTCCTCAGATCAAACGGGAGGGCTGCCGCCCTCCCACAATCAGCATGGATGCCCTCCTTGCTTGTTGCCTCTATGGGGCGACTTTCAACCCTTTTCAGGGTCCCATCTTCCTGCGTCTGCTTCACCATGACGTCAAAACCGGAAGCACGAATCACAATTCTGAAGGGACAACTAGTAACAGTGTTGATGCTAGATAACGATCACTGAGATAATGTTCAGCTATCTATCCAATATCTAGACTGAAGAAGAGGCCTTGCGTATTCAACTACTTTTATACATTTAAAATGCATTTATTCAAGTGGGTTCAGGGGTGTATAATCATTCAACTATGGCACATAAATTCCTTTGAAAATATTTTGACACATATTTTTCCTGCTAAAATAGAATGTAAAACATACCAAAATACTACAACAGACTTGAGGCACTAAGTAATTCACAACTCACCATGCAAGGTCCTCTCTGCTTCATTCTTGTCTACCTTAGTACCAGATTGCTTAAGTTGCTTTCCAGTCGCACTTTTCTGTCCAATAAAAGCAAAACCAATGAGCCTGTTGAGATTTGAACCCCACCCTAATGAAGCTAGAGATATGGTCTCTTTGTAGTGATGGGCAGTAGTATAACATGGCCGTAGTTCAGAACTGTCTTTTCTCATTCTACGGGATACTTTTTTAAATACTTTTTTTGCTTGTTTGGCATATGTGTATGAATGGCACATGTCTTTTCCTGCCCTGAGGAGTGTTGTAATTCAGTGCACTTCTTACCTTCTTTGCGCGAATTTGGTTGAGCGTTCCCATGAGATTCTCAGTGAGGAACAGAAAGTAAATGCCCCCTAGGACACATAGACCCTTCAGAACGCCATCTTCTTCTGAGGACAGCAAGCCATGGGAGGTCACTTGTGCCTGAATAAAAACAATTGTTCTGAGCAGAGAATGGAAGATTTCAGAACAGATATTAATTCTTTTAAACCACCTTAAGATAGGCCTGGAAAGATCTGAGCAAAAATCCCCAACTGTCCCCACATTTGCTCTTCATGGAAACATGACAGGAGTTCAGCTCTGCTGTTTGGTTCTGGCATCACCTTGTCCATATTCACCTGGGAGCAAGTCCCACTGAGTTTAACAATAGCATTAATTATGAAAAATCCTGTTTTTCATGAAAATGACTAAAAGAGAGGCAAACCAGCAAGAACTGAGGAATGTTCACTGGGTGAAATGTGGGAGATACCTCATTAAAAACAACAGGATCAAAGAGGACAAAGTATTGATGAGAACCGATGTGAAGAGGCAGACACCCAATGCCTTAGCTGGGCTTCTCTGTACGAAGCTGAGATGGTTAGGTGGTTATCCACTTACCTGTGGACAATTGTACCCCAAATGGAAGAAGGGGTGGTACATACATGTGGCCAGAGGTGCAGCAAAGCGTCCCCACACAACGTCCCCACAGCCAACGCCACCAGAAAAGTCAGGAGGAACTGGAAGGTTTCTCCACTCAGTAGGGGCACCAAGACAATGGCCAGTGCTGAGGGCAAGCTGGTCATGGTGATAGCCAAAAATCCCCAGCCCAGGCCTGTAGAAAGCATAAAGGGTGCCAGGAATAGGAAACACAGCTCTAAAAGTAACAAGTTACACATAGTGGAGGCCTTATTTGCTACACTTCCCTGGGATGGAAGCACTAGGATACATTCTCTCTACAGATTGTAATGAATAGTTTCTTCACAAGAGAGTAATGAAGGCACAAGTAATTATATATCTTCTTAAAATAACTCCTAGAAAATAAGTTGGAGGCAGAGGATGTTGGGAAAAAGCCAGTTTGGTGAAAGAAAAGCTGAATCAAGAGGCAATGAATAAAAACTTGGGCAAATTGAGGCTTCAGCATGATTTTGGAAAACATTTTCTCAGTTTATTCAATAAGGATGTTCTGAGGAACAATTTGAGTTATCTTGAAGAGAGGATGTGGAATTTTGTTTTACATATTTTAAATAAGCATGCAGCGTTGTGGGTTTGCAGAAGAAAAGTGGAATTCTTACAAGATTAGAAAGAAAAGTTTAAAAAAAGGAAAGAACTGAAAGCTGAAGGGAAGCCATGTTGAAAGTCTGAGGGAGCTGCGGTCTGGGAAAAGGAGGGAGAAGAAGGAGTACAAACCTAACTTTACAATTGCATTTATATAGTGGTAAGTTGACCCATCTGCAATTTCTACTCTAATCATTGTTCAAATTTATAATGTACTATTCTTTTTCTAACAAAAAATAGTGTCTTGATGAGATTGTGTGACCCCATCTGTGATGTGATGTACCCAATTTACAATTTGCCACATCCAGAAACTTCAGCTTCTCCTTTTGATAAATTAAGAGTAGAAGCGGGTGTAGGAAGCCAATTGCTTCCATACACACTCCCCAAACTACAAACAACAATAACTAACACCCTCCTTCAAAAATCACATCACCAAAATCCATTGATTGTGGCACCCAAAATGGATGCCACAACTTGGGGGTCCTCAAGGCTGGGCCTGGAAACATTTTGCTTCCCCCACACCTTCTACTCCCCTTCCAAGCTGTACAGGTAGTCCTTGACTTATGACCACAACTGAGCCCAAAATTTATGTTGCTAAGTGAGACATTTGTTAAGTGAATTTTACTCCATTTTACTGCCTTTCATGCCACAGTTGTTAAATGAATCACTGCAGTTGTTAAGTTAGTGACACCTTTGTTAAATGAATCTGGCTTGTCAGAAAGTTGCAAAAGGTGATCACATGACCTTGGACATTGAAACCGTCAGAAATATGAGTCAGTTGCCAAGCCTCTGAATTTTGATCAGGTGATCATGGGGATGCTAGTGTGAAAAACAATCATAAGTCACTTTTTTCAGTGCCGTCGTAATTTTGAACTATTGAACTAAATGAACTATTGTACATTGAGGACTATGTGTATAGCAAAGTGGAGGGGGAAAGCTTTGCCCACCCCTCTTCCCATGACATCACTAACTCCGCCTCCTCCTGCTCACCCAGGCCAACCTCCCTGGAGATGTGCACTTCGGAATGACTTGAGAAAGGCAGAAGATCTTACCATTCCAGAGCGAGTTCTCGGACGTGTTGAAAGTCACATCATCCAAGTGCTGGATACAAACACGGCTATCGATCTGGTACAGCAGTGCTGGGCACAGCAGAGTGAACTGCTCTGGGGTGATTTTGGAGATGGTATTCATACCGAAATTGACAAGCAGCTGAGACACATTGAGGCACTGGAGAAAGAACAACAACCCGGAAGGCTGTTTATTGTACAAATGAATAGGGCTAAAATGGGCTTGTGGCCCTCCAACCAGGGCAGAACACACTTCCACTACAATTATCATTTATCCATTTGGGGTGTGTGTGGATATTCCTGAGCAGAGGAAGAAATGTTGCCCAGCTTGGGAGGAGAATTTCAGTAACAGAGAAGGGCAGGGTGAGAAATCAGAAATGTGTCGTGCTTCCTCTGGGAGCTACAGAAAAATACAGCATTCCTGAAAAGCAGAGATAAATTCTGCACCAGTTGTGCAACTTTGCTTTTTCTATGTAAGTGTGTTGGCGTCTGTATGTGACATATTTTAACAGTAGTTCTTGTCATAGGATGGCTTTTGAAAACATGTCTAATTGCATTGGTTTAAGTGAGTCTCTTCTAGTCATCTACTTTGAGGATCGCTGGTGGTAATCAAGTTGCTGCCAATCATTAGCTTGAAGGCCAGATACAGCTTGAAGGTCATCCATAGGTTACCATCCACAGTTCAGCTGAGAGGGCAACACTGGGTTCTTTCCAAATGGAACATGGGCCCAGTATAAACAAAGAATCTTGACTCATTTTTCCATCTTTCAGACCTAGAATATACTTTGTAATCTCCCCTCCCATCAACACCTCCCCTTATACACAGTAGCATAATTGCTTCCCTGCCAGCCCAGTATAGTCAACACACTTGCTGCAGTGAGGCAGGAAATCTTGAGAATGACTGCAACGCATCTCCAATACTTACATCTTCATGCAGGTGATTGAAGACTGAGTGATCTAAGGCAATGACTCCCTCCAGAAGGTTTAGCTTAGAATGTCCATGGGGAGGCATGAAAACATTTTCCTCTTTCTCCTTGTCAGATTTCCCGGGGCCTTGCCCAAAGCTGGGCTTGAGGATGTGGCTGACCTCATGGAAGGCAGGAGAGACTGGGGTATGGAGTTCAGGGTCCAGCAGAGAGAATCCTGGCCTGAAGACAGGTGAAATCATCATCAACTCAACAGGGAAAGATTGCATTTCACTGAAATGTTAAGAAACCGTCCTGATACTGTAAGGCTAACTAAATCTCCCTGAGAATAATCAGAAAAAAACAGAACTAAGAGAAATAGAACTAAAATACATAAGGCTGCAGGCTTGAAAATAATTATTTTCAATGTATACCTCACTTTTATTCCAGGAGTTTATCATGGTGTACATAGCTCTCCCTCCGCCTGTTTTTCCCCACAACAAAACTGTGGGGTAATTTAGATGATGAGTTAGCAAGTGGCTGTAGCTGAGGGTGGGATTTCCCAGAAGAATTGGTGCATTGCATTCCTTTCATGACATTTAATTATTAGTATAAAATCTAATCAAACAACAACAACAATAAAGTTGGAAGGGACATTGGAGGTCATCTAGTCCAACCTCCTGCTCAGGCAAGAGACCCTACACCATTTCAGACAAATGGCTGTCCAGTCTCTTCTTAAAAACTTCCAGTGTTGGAGCATTCACAGCTTCTAGAGGCAGGTTGTTCTACTGATTAGTTGTTCTAACTGTCAGGAAATTTCTCCTTAGTTCTAGGTTGCTTCTCTTTTTGGTTAGTTTCCATCCGTTGCTTCTTGTCCTGCCTTCATGTGCTTTGGAGAATAGCTTGACTCCCTCTTCTTTGTGGCAGCCCCTGAGATATTGGAACACTGCTATCATGTCCCCCCTCGTCCTTGTCTTTATTAGACTAGACATACCCAATTCCAGCAACCGTTCCTTATATGTTTTAGCCTCCAGTCCCCTAATCATCTTTGTTGGTCTTCTCTGTACTCTTTCTAGAGTCTCAACATCTTTTTTACATTGTGGTGATTAATACACATGTGGTCTTCACTTAGATTGCTGTACAGCAATTTGGGCAGTTGCAATGGTGATGAAAATGTAACTTTGTGACCAATTCTCTTGTTTACAGACTATAGAGGTCTGTAAAGCAAAATAACACTGAAGTAAGGCCATAACCACAGTAGCGATTTTGTTTAGCAACCACTTTGCTAAACAAAGTTGCCAGTTCCAATTGTGGTTCCTAAATGAGGACTACCTCAATCTTTTCTGAATTTATCTATCTCCTCCCAAATTAATGTTATCCCAAATTGTTTGAATTGATGGCTGACAGGGATGAGCTGCTGCTTCACTTCTTTTTCTCTTGCAATGATTGAAGTAGGCCTATTGCTGCTAGCTCTCAGCTTCCGGAAAGACAAGAAATATTTCAGCAGACCCATTTCAGCAGGTTGCCTGGTTCAGCGAGATCAGAATGCTGAGGCTAGCAATATGTTTATTTTACTTGGGCTTAGATGCTGTGCAAGATGTTAGCTGCTGATCAAGAACTTAACAAACACCATGCTTTAATTATTTCATTCTTCAATGGAAATATGCGCTGGCAATCTTCCATTGTGTACAGACGGAAATATCTTTCTCAAGCTGTAGAATCTGGGTTGCTAATTTGTCCACAGCTCTCCCTTGGCGCTGGCCAGGTGGGTCTCTGCCCCACCTGATTTTAACTTTTTTTTTTTTCAAATTCTTTCCTTAAGAATAAATAAAGCAGTGGGAAACAAAGAACCAGCCCTTAGCATCAGCTTGATTTAGCTCTGGGTACCACAGAGCAAACAAACAAGGTCCGGATGCTTTGTTTGGAAGTACAGCCTGCCCAGCACAACAAGGCAAAGGTACCCTGAAATCCTCTGGAAGGGCTAGTGCGGGGCTGTCAAACTGCCGGCCCATGGGCCGGATGCGTCATGCCAAAACTGTGCCTATCCCTTTGCCGGCAATGGAAAAAAAGTCATGATACGTCATGACACATCACGTGACAAAGCGAGTTTGACACCCCTTGGCTAAAGGGTGGGGGGAAATCCTCCCCTGTTTACCTTGTGACAAATGGATCTTTTGTGACTGTCCATGCCCACCTGGAAAGCTGTTTTATGAATGGACAAGCCCTCCCCAGTGCAGCCATTTTTGCCCGCTGGATGTTTCCAGTCTTTAGAATGGACCCACCTGGTGGGGGTAACACTCTCCACTTGAGTCTTGGCCCCGTGCTCTGACTTGCTGATATGATCCAGTGCTGAGTGGAAGTGCAGGTGCTTGTTTTCCTGCACCTCCAGGATGTCCAGATGGGAGACGTGACCATGGCCCAGTTCCTCGTGTTCGATCTCCACCACCTGCACCTTCCCCAGCCCCAGGCTTAGCAGGAGGCGGGTCAGGCCCTCAAAGGACAAAGTGCCATTCTCACCATACTGTCCAAACAACTGCTGCAGGTAGTAACCGTGCTCTTGGGTGGCGTCTTCCAGCAGAGGCCCAGCAGCTCCACCAGCCAGCAAGTCAGGTGGCTCACCCTGGGCAAAATGGCATATGGCCTGCAGGGAAAGCCAAGCCACCCAGAATCTGGCCAGAGGGGATCTCAGGGTCCACTGGTCCATCAACAGGGGCCTGCGCTGAAAGAAAAAAGCTCTGAGCCTGAGGTGGAATCACAGTCTTAATGCTGGATCTTATTTTATCTGGATCTTATCCACAGATCCTAGAAGAGAAACAGGTCCTTATTTGCTAACATCGATTAGGGCAGAAAAATCCCTGTGATGACTGGGTAAGAGGAGAACTTGCAAATCTACATCTTTTCCTCTTCTCAACCAGTGCAATAGTTTTTGGGCTTGCACAACAAACATCTTCATTATTTCCTCATAGTTCAGATTCATGTTTGCGTGCAACTAAATCCTGGTCATAATTTGTCTATTTTATATGTTTCTATGCTGCCACAATCAAAAATGCTCTCTGAGGCTCCACATGGAAAATATAAAAGTAAAGATAAAGCTTTCCACTGTCCAGTCATTTCTGAGTCTAGGGAGAGGTGCTCACCTCCGCTTCTCAGCCAAAGGAGCCGGCATTGTCTGAAGACGCTTCCCGTGGCCAGCATGACTATACGCTGAGGTGCACGGAATGCTGTTACCTTCCAATTGAAACGAAACCTATTTATCTGCTCTCGTTTACATGCTTTTGAATTGCTAGATGGCGAGAGCTGGGAGAAGTAAGAGGAGCTCACCCCATCACATACATAACGCTCAGATTGTCAATTTTCCAGCTGACAAGCATCTTTAATTACTGAGTCATTATGCCCTCTCGAATGGAAAGTATTTATGTGTGTATATATATATATGTATATAGGTATATAGGTATATAGATATAGATATAGATATGAGAGAGGGGAGGGAGAAATACAATAACAAAAACACAACAGCACCATACCAATACAGACAGACTAAAATGAGGATTACATCAAGTTAAATCAAATCGGGAAAGCCCTCCAAAACAACAACTTGCTCTTCAGGTGTTTTTGAAAGATGAGAAACAGGGAGCTGACTTGAGAGGCTAGTCTACAGGGTGCTGCCACAGAAAAGCTGTACTTCCTTGCCCTGCTTTCTTGGTGTACCTCCCCCCCCAATGTCCTGAAAGTGTGGGATTTGCAGAGTTTCTCCTTGGCAGATTTATCTCGTCGGACCCAAACTGGCTGGAGAAAGTGATCCGAAAGTATCTGAGTGCTAAGCCATGAAGGGTTTCATAAGTTCAAACTAGCACCTCTATTGGAGCTAGAATTAACTAGCAATGCAGGGTCTGGTGTAAGGTGTTCCTAATGTTTGCACAAAATAGCACTACCGTGAGAATTTTAGAAATGTAGATTCATTATTTATTTATTTATTTATTAAATTTATGTGCCGCCTATCTCACCCAGTAGTTTTACATCACTACACCGACCTGATTCTCTAATTTTAAATAAAAAATCCAGCTTCTTTGATTTGTAGGGTCACTAATTCAATGGGCTTAGATTTGAACCTCTCTACTTTTTTTGGTTAGTGTATAGATGATTAATTTACAGTTTACAGAATTCATCTTTTGAATTTTGAAGAAGGATGTTGCCAATAAATAAAGTCACTTATTAAAGCTAATGTAGTAAAATTGGATGAGAGAATAAAGTAAAAATAGTGTTTTGCTTCTTTCACATAATATTTTTTTTCAAAACCACATATATTGAGGGTGGTCATATGAACTGACTTACACTTACACTTGTGTCTGATGTTTAGTTAACCTGCAGTCAGTCAACTTGCAGCTGTAGAGTGTTCCTTTGGCACAAAACCATGTTCCTGAAATTTGGTTTATGCATCTCAGTGGGATCCCTTTACAGATCAGGCTAAGCCAAAACAAAAATACAATCACATGGCTTTGTGCAGTGTAAGAAGCCATACATTGGATTGCAAAGTCAAAGCAGAGGTAAAGATTTTTAAATTGAGATCTTTTCTTCATGCATCAATCTCCTAGCTACAATTTTAAGCAAAATAATGGATGAGACAGTGCTCTGTATGAACCTTTGTCATCTCCCTGACCTAGAGATTTCATGAGTCCTCTGGAAAACAGCTGCAAAGTTGTACAAGCAAACATAAACATGCTGAAGCAAAGAATATAATCAAAGTACCTGACCCTCTCACGATGCCCAGGCTAGAATAAAATTTTGAATTGCTGATCAGCCTTCAACCGCTTTGAATATCTCAGTAATGGCGATCCAAATCTGATGCTCGTGGATTTTTTTCAAGTCTTGGTTGGTGCCTGCTTTCTCCAGCTGCCTTGAACACCAAGTCAAACAGCAACTCTAGAGCAAATAATAACATCTGATTTTAAGAGACAACGGCAGGTTTCAGACTTTTTAATTGGAGCAGTTTTGCTTTCATCTGGGATTGGATCTGCCTGAAGGATGGGTGGACTGTTTTGGAGCAGAGTAGGTGGGTCTGCCAGGCATTAGCCCCTCCCTCTATAAAACCAATAGGTGAGAACTGAGGACATTAGAGGACTTTTTGGACTTGCCCCAGAAGTGTAGAGAGAGAAGTAGGAACAAATACCTTATTTTGAGACCAGATGCTGACAAGGAGTGGGAAAAGAATTGAGCAATCAGTCAAAATGTAAATGTGCATCTCTTTCCATGTGCACAGCTACCCCTTCAGTTTTTCCAATAGATACAGGGCTCCCTAACCACTAGGGAGAGCTGCCTTCCTTCAGCCAATGGATCCCAGATTTATTAATTCAGGGATATTGGTCCAGGATGGCTGTGTATCTGTAGTGCCAACAGGACTTTACGTGGAGGATGGCAGGCTAGAAAAGCGAGGTAGCCATTTTTATCCATTTCCAAAGGCAGTTCATATAAAATAAATGTGGATGGGGTGTTTGTATGACAGCCAATTGTAACTGAGACTGTTTTATATATTTCCCCTTTTAATAATAATAATAAAATTGGAAGGGACCTTGGAGGTCATCTAGTCCAACTCCCTGCTCAGGCAGGAAACCCTATACCATTTCAGACAAATGGCTGTCCAGTCTCTTCTTAAAAAATTCCAGTGTTAGAGCATTCATAACTTCTGGAGGCAGGTTGTTCCACTGGTTAATTGTTCTAACTGTCAGGAAGTTTCTCCTTAGTTCTAAGTTGCTTCTCTCCTTGATTAGTTTCCATCCGTTGCTTCTTGTCCTGCCTTCTGGTGCTTTGGAGAATGGCTTGACTCCCTCTTCTTTGTGGCAGCCCCTGAGTTATTGGAATGCTGCTATCATGTCCTCCCTTCCTCCTTCTCTTCATTAAACTAGACCAGGGGTCTTCAAATTTGGCCCTTTTATGAGTTGTGGACTTCAACTCCCAGAATTCCTCAGCCAGCAAGCCTGGCCAAGGAATTCTGGGAGTTGAAGTCCACAACTCATAAAAGGGCCAAGTTTGAAGACCCCTGAAGTAGACATACCCAATTCCAGCAACCGTTCCTTATATGTTTTAGCCTCCAGTCCCCTAATTTTTTCAAGGCTGTCAGTTTGGTTGAAGAGCAGTAGGATTAGGGTGGATGAAATAAAGCATTTCTTTGTATGATCCAGTCATAAAATCCATGACTTGAAGGTGATTTTTTTAAAAGGATTAGATATATTGATTACGGAGAAGTGTATTAGCTGTTGTGAGCCGCAATAACTTAACGGAGCCTGTACAGGTAGTCCTCAATCTACAACCACAATCTGTTGCTAGATGAAACAGCTGTTAAGTGAATTTTGCCCCATGTTACAACCTCATGTGCCACAGTTGTTAAGTGGATCACTCCAGTACTTAATAACGTGGTTGCTAAGTGAATCTGGCCTTCCTATTGACTCTGCTGGTCAGAAGGTGACAAAAGGTGATCACGTGACTCCAGGACACTGCAACTGTCATAAATATGAGTCAGTTGCCAAGCGGTTGAATTTGGATCACATGACCATTGGGGATGCTGCAACCGTCACAAGTGTGAAAAATAGTCATGTCACTCTTTTCAGCGCCACTATAACTTCGAACAGTCATTAAATGAACTGTTGTAAATGAAGGACTATTTGTATTAAATTAGCGCCTCCGACCTCACAGCCACTCTACCTCTAAATACTAGTTGCTTGCTTTGAAGGCAAATGATGCAAAGCAGCCTCTGTTGTTTCCATGTGTTGCTTGCAAGCTTTCTGGAATCAATTAATCCAATTGTGGACTAATCACAATTTATGCTGGACCAAATGGAAATTTGCTCTAATCCAGACAAGCTTGTGGTATATTCATATTCCTTTAAGGCTGTGTTTCGCAACCTCAGCAACATGAAGGTATATGGACTTCAACTCCCAGAATTCCCCAATAAGCCTCAGACATCTTAAAATGGCAGAGGTTGAGAAACACAGCTTTAAGGCATGGAGATGGCTCTCCACCAACTATTGGTAATCTGCAGTTCCCATCATACCTGTTGGTAGATAGATAGATAAAGAAGATGATGGGAGCTGTAGCCCAAAAACATTTGGAGGGCTGCAAGTTCCTTCTGTTCTAAGGTGTCTCTTCCATGGAGTCGAACAGTAACTTTCAAAAGGATGGGAATATTGCTTGTTTCTAGTCTTGCAAGCCACCGGTTGGTTTATCTGAAGGAGTTAATGGTTCATCTGCAGCCCAGCAGGCCACTGAAAAATTCAGATAGCTCTGTTTGTGACCAAACAGGATGTATTAAAGGTCAATTTTTAGTTGCAGAAGTATGTTTGTATAAAAGGCTTGGAAATTGGGAACAAGCAGATCCGATTCTTCTATTTGTTTGGCAACATTTGTCCTCCCTTTGTGATATTTCTAGCATTCCGGCAACAGTGGGAATAAAAGTCTCCAACTGAAGTGATAGTAAGATTTTGTTGCAAGCCTGCTGCAGGATATTATTATACTTATTTAAAAGATATAATACTGTAATAAAAAAAATATAAAAAAATACTCAATGCAGACAGTTCTCCAGGGTGAAATAGACTATTGTATTGAAACATAACCACTTAATCAAACACAAAGCTAAATTAAAATAAATATTATTTTATATCATTATATTAGATTAAAATCCATATATTTTTCTTTGTGTGTAGGGAAGATTAGAAAGCAGCTGGCAACACCTAGCCTACAGATGCCAGTTCTTAACAATTGTCACATTGAATGCAAATCTTTAAAAAGGGAAGCAACAGCTGTTGGGAAGCCAGAGTTAACTCCTAAAAAGATTTTGCAGGTCTTTTAGAGCAAATAGCCTTGCACACACTGAGGAAGGTAGGGTTTTAAGGATAGATGGAAAGTTGGCAAATCCCAGCTGATGCATCATATCTGATCTTGAGTCTCTTGGAAAATATTGCTGATGTTGAACAACCTCATTTGGAACAAAGATGTGACCTTATCATCATGAATAGTAGCATCTTAAAGAAGCCCACACTTCATATTGGTTGTATATTGTCTTGCATTATGCCTGGGACACCAATAATATTGCAGGGGTCTCCAAACTTGGCAACTTTTAAGATTTGTGGACTTCAACTCCCAGAATTCCTAAGCCAACCATGTTGGCTAGGGAATTCTGGTAGCTGAAGTCCACAACTCTTAAATTTGACAAGTATGGAGATCCCTGCTATAGGGGAACTGTTTGTGACTGCAATGTGTTTGAATTAGTTGGGGAGGAGTGTAAATGGATGTGGCAACAGGGAGAGGTAGACAACTATCTGGCTGCTTACCTCATTTTGTCTGCAAGTCTACTTTGTCGTGTCCCCCCCCCCCGAGTATGATTACCTTTGCAATATGATTTAAGACCAGAGCAGAAATGCCATTGGGAGAAGCAGCAGTAAATGCAAAAAAGGACAAAATAGTTCAGAGTTCCCATTCAAACTTTTCGTTCTCCAGTTTCCTTCCCACCTTATTTGACAGAAATACATCCCATTGGCAGCTTACGTTAACTTGGTGTCTGCAAAAATAAAGCAATACTTAAGGGGCCAATAACAAATAACCCTCCTTTTTAAGCATCTCACAAATTTGGCTCCCATTTTCAGCTGCTAAGTAGCAATGCACAATTCCCCCAAGGATGGATTTCAATTAATCCTATAGTACGTTCAATTTCCTAATGGTAAGAGCAGATTAGCAATGGAAGAATAACAGAGTCAAAAGAGTCCTTGGAGGTCTTCTAATCCAACCCCCAGCTCAAGCAGGAGACCCTATACCATTTTAGACAAATGGCTGTCCAATCTCTTCTTAAAAACCTCCAGTGTTGGAGAACCCGCAACTTCTGGAGGCAAATCATTCCACTGATTAATTGTTCTGTCAGGAAATTTCTCCTTAATTCTAGGTTGGTTCTCTCCTTGATTAGTTTTCATCCATTGCTTCTTATCCTGTCCTCAGGTGCTTTGGAAAATAGGTTGACCCCCCTCTTCTTTATGGCAACCCCTTAGATATTGCAATACTGCTATCATGTCACCCCTAATTTTTTTTTTTCATTAAACTAGTTCAGTTCCCTTAAGGAGACTGAGAGTGGCTTCTCTTTTGCAAATGGAACCTTTGGGAAATGTTAAGATAATAAGGAAGTTAAGAAGGAAACTGTGAGCATAGACCTTGTTACTTCTGCATTCTGCTTCTTCCCAAATGGGCTGGCTGAATGCCTTGTTGAAACACAGGAAGGAAGGAATTTTGTTTGTGATGCTGCATGAGTGATTTACATATATGCAGATCTTTGTGTCCCTTGTGGCAGAGAAGGAGGACAAGGGCTGAAGGGATCTAGATACCCTCAGTCAGAAAATTTGGAACAATAAAGCCACATTTATTTATTTATTTATTTATTTATTTATGAGACTTATATACCGCTTTAAGTGCAAGCACTCTCTAAGCGGTGTACACCAGTAAGCAATGTATATATATATTTACATTGCCCCCAACAATCTGGGTCCTCATTTTACCTACCCCGGAAGGATGGAAGGCGGAGTCAACCTTGAGCCGGTGAGATTTGAACCGCTGACCTGCTGAACACAGTCAGCTAAAGTGGCCTGCAGTACTGCACTCTAACTGCTGCGCCACTTCGGCACTTCATGCATATTCATTTTACTTTAACAAAGTTAGAATAACAATATGCAGAGAAAGAAAAAAAAATCAGTCTCTAAGCAGGTTTTTTTCCTAATCCCAAAACTAATTTGTACAAAGCTAAGGGTGAACCAATGCAAGCAAATACAGGAATGAGATGCTCACTTCCCACTCTGCAAAGGAACATCTTTTTAGATTCTAAGGAGAAAAATTGCAGCATCAGGATTACCTACCCACTTGGGGAGTTGATGTTTAATGGATCTCAAGCACTTAAGCTACCCCAATAAATATGCAAGTGTCTGATGCAAAATGTGTAGGAATTCCTTATTTTATTTATTTGGAGTGAGCTGAG